AAATATTCATTAAATATTACGCCAGTTGTGACGCAATCTTCTAGGCTATCGAGTCTCGACTATAATGTATGATATTTGACAAGCATGACAATCGGGCAAGAAGACTTTCTTGACGTGGTACTTGAAGCAACAATATATCTCCAATTTACTTCTTAATAAGACAAAAGACAACTTTAAAAAATATATTAAAAAAAAAAAATTGATTTACTTTTCGCAGAGAATTGGAAGCATATACTGCGATGCAGACAAACAACGAGCAACAGAACTAAGAGTCAACATTTCTGATGAAAATCCCCACATTTTCCTCCTGCCAAAATGTATCCCTCTCAAATACGAGAATATAGGCCTAATTAGGCTAATTTACGCAGTACATTATTGATTGTTATGTATTGTCTCAATGCCCTTTTCCGAACCAAAGAGGCCATTGAATTTTATTGATCATTATTGCTCAATTAATGACCTATTTATAACACAGTAGCAGCGGTGGGATAAGTTTTAATGTTCCATCGTGATGTATTTTTTGCCTTTTTCAGAGAAATATCACACACAAAAAAAACACACACAATATTATATGTGTTTGTGTGGGTTCTTTTTCTTTTGGGGGCGGGGGAAAAGGGGGAGGTATGTTCCCCTAATCTCCCTCAATATCATGTCCGGCCTAGTAAGCCCACGGGGACCATCAGCTGATACAAACTACGAGTAAAAATGGTTATTGTATAAACGTTAAATGGATTCGATTAATCATTTTTAAATTCAACCAAAAGCTTTAAATATGTCGGTCTATTTCTTTATCGTAAGAAGTATTATAATGATTTATTTTACGACCACTTTCTCTTTCATTGTGATCATAATTATTAAGTCAATGATTCGACTTAAGTTATTAACGAGAAGGAAAAACAATCATTACTTTATATTCGATAGCCAATAAAAACCCCATTGAAACAAAGATGGGATTGTGAAAACGGGTAAATAACTCCTTTAAACATTGCATGTAAAAAAGAAAAAAGAAAAAAAGGTATGAAGTAACGAACATTCACGTATACTAATCTTTATTCACATGCTGAGGGGATATTTCACTTTCGAATCTTCATTCATTTCTGCTAATGACATCATCCTACATTTTGTTTCGAGTCCTAGCTAAATATTAGACACACGAACCTGTCAAAGGTAAACTTATTAGTCAAGGCCATGGATGTGTTGATCATTTTATCATTTTAAAATCAAAATAATAGTCTCTTTGTTTCATGTAGCTTTCGAAGCTGCTAAGTGGACACCATCGATCGGGGTTTTATGTCCGGCCGGACAAATCACGTAACCATTTACATAGGCCTACTTTGTTCTCTTTGGGTAATGTCGATATGAATATTTAACAATTAATCTTTGGGTTGCATGATGGATGATTTTCATTCTTTAGGTATTCACGATTGTGGAAATCATTACACAAGAACAAATATGTTCATCGGTCACGGCTAAATCATTTCCGTAAGATTATTATTTCTGGAAAATGTTGGCGTTCAAGAGCAAAGTGGTAGTAGTGGGGGTAGATTCTGCCCCCATAGGTGTATACCAGAATTTAAATCAAGAAAATAAATTTCTACCATTTAACTGTTAGCAACACATTTGCCTCACAACGCCCCAGTAATTTTGACGAACTTTGATATTCATACGTCGATCTATATTTTTTGTTTAAAAAATCGCAAGCAATATTTAATCACTCAGAAGTATTATCTCGTGTACTACAGTACTCTAAATATGAGACATACATGAAAATACCTACTTTTTATCAAATCACAATCTTAAACTTGTACAAGGCGTTCAAACAAACAAAGGCGAAACTTTTAGGGATTTCAAAAAGTTCAATTTACGGTAGCATACTCGGCAAATACGCCAAGTCCCAAGGGAAAAAAATCTTTAAAAATGTCAATGCATTTACAGCACACACGGGCTGCAAAGTTACATTGCGCCCCCACTCCCATCTCCCGAAAAGACAACTACTCTCAAAGAAAGCAGAACAATCAGAGAAGCAAAAAGTGATGTAAGTGTCAAATAAATCTGACTAATTCAATGAAAGTTATGAATTTTTGAAAGTTGTAATCAAATTGGCTGAAGCGGTAATGACAATGTGATGTAGTGCCGGACTACTTTCCCATCTGTTCTAAATATAATGACTAAAGTTTTATTGAAGAAGAAAAAAAATCATTGCTCAGGAGGATATATAATTTTTAGAGGACCTATAATATTATTCTATAAAATATAATATATTTTGAGTAGTGCCCTTAGGGAGAAGGAGCCTATGAAAAAACAAAAATTAACGATATTTTTGTACACGGCAAATGGGAGAGTTATCCACGTCCTACGTCACAATCTACTGACCGAAATACCAATTTGAGATTCGCATATACACTTAGTGATCTCATATTTAAAACATTCGTAACTTCCTTACTATTGGTCCGATTAATTTCAAACTTTTACCATTCTGTTTCTGTTACTTTTCTGCTTTCATAAAAAAATCAACTCATTACAAGGGTTAGATTGCCCTATAATCTCTGGGGTACGCCACGGATTCTCATTATCATGTACGAGTATTTTCCCGTTTCCACAAGGAAATGCACGTAAATTTGATATCCATTCAATATCATACCTATTGTAAGGGCATTGAAATAATAACATCCATTTTGACTGTGTATCAGGAGACATGGTTTATCACCATGAAATTAAATTGCCAACGCCCAGCCCAGGGATGAAAGTGCCCCCTTTAACACCAATCTTGCCTTCCCTTTAATGGTGGTATACCATTACCCATTACCACCCTTATCAGCTCCAAGACATTGGAACAGGACCAGTATTCATCTCCGAGGAATGTTATCTAGAGATGCAATCAGAAGTGACGCGACCGATGATGAGAGCCTCACTGCATTGTACCCCAGTCACACAACAACGAGACCGATACCACAACGACACCAAGCCGACACCAGACCGACTGCAGACCGATATCAGACCGATATCAGACCGGCCACAAACCGATACCACAACGACACCAAGCCGACACCAGACCAACTGCAGACCGATATCAGACCGATATCAGACCGGCCACAGACCGACACCACAACGACACCAAGCCGACACCAGACCGACTGCAGACCGATATCAGACCTATATCAGACCGGCCACAGACCGACACCACAACGACACCAAGCCGACACCAGACCGACTGCAGACCGATATCAGACCGATATCAGACCGATATCAGATCGACACCAGACCGATACCAGATCGACACCAGACCGACACTGAACCGACAACAAGACGACAGCAGACCGACACGAGACCCACACGAGACCGACACCAGAACGACACTAAACCGACACCAGACCGGACAAGAATGACTGTCTTCGAATGGCCTCAAATCAGTCGGTTATACATCAGTCACACCGCCAAACCGAGTTCAGGTGACCGACTCCAAACCGACCGATACTTGGCTGTAATGTCCCCTTTTCGTTCGGTCTGTTGTCGGTTTGTTGTCGGTTTGTTGTCGGTCTATTGTCGGTCTTGTGTCGGTCTGTTGTCGGTCTGGTGTCGGTCTGTTGTCGGTCTGGTGTCGGTCTTGTTGGTGTCACTAAGGTGCGTTGAGACTGAGCTAAACTGTACAAAGCTAACCAACCGATGCTAACACAATATGGAGCAAGAGGTGCATTGTAGGTTCATGGTTAGTGTCACATAATTATCCGATAAAAGAAAGAAAGAAAAAAGAAAGAAGGTTTTAGAATTTTAGGAAATCCGTCTTTATCATATTATATTCATAGAAACAAAAATACATTTCATGTTGTTTACCTGCCAATATCAGATCTGTAAAATCCAAGAAAATGGCACATAAATTGATCATGACTCAATGTTCCTGTTTCACTTCAAAGACTGTCATTATTTCTACTTCAGGGATGGACTTTCAACCCAATAAAATAGAATGTGATGCTTTGAACAAAAACATAAAAATCTTAATTTGAATAATTTGGATATTTTAGAACTAATTTCGAATATTATTAACGAGAATGCAAATCTTCCAGGCCTATTGAGTTTCGAAGTACCACAGATACGGCGTATATTTAAAGCTGCGACATATTTTCCTAGCTTTGTTAAAGATAAGCAGAATTTAAAGTAAGGACCCCCCCCCCCCCCAACAAAACAAAAACAAAACAAAAAAATCAACGAAAAAATTACTAGATTATTTGCTCTGAGTCGAGAAATCGCAAGATAACAGCAATGTTAAGATGCTGTGAATGATCAAACAATTTGTATCCCTGGCCAGGACGAAAATTCTAACCCGCCACTGATACGTGCAAACATACGGACACAGATATGTGTGTGCACGATATATATGAACCTATAGAGCAAGATTGCAAGATGTAGAGAGGTTTAAATAGCTCTATCACCTTTGATTTTGGAGCCGCATTCAAATATTTACCCTAATACTCATCGAAAATTACAGATGAAAAATCATCAAGCGTGATCAATGTGGTACATGTTATGTAATACATTTCAGTTGAATAATATGAGTTAATAATTTATAGTTTAATTACAATTTCCTTTTCGTTCCAAGAACTAATATTATAATAGAACTATATATTCAAAATCCATGATTTTTTTTTATCTATGATTGCGCGGACTATTCCTAAAGTGATTCCATTTCTGGATGGCGTCTCTGAATGTGTTAATGCTATTTAAAGGCATTGTTTAACAATGTTTTCAGTTTTACAAATTGAGATGCGTGACCCTACGTGTTACCAGTGTCCTAGATATGGTGTAATATTGAAGCCCTAAAAAAACAATTGCGCTTCAAAATGATGATGAAGTGCTTCAAAAAAGTTGACCGACTTTACACAGATTTGTATTTATAATTGCAGCATGAGCTACATTTTGCAAAATCCAGGAATTTGTTTAGAATCTGAGGCAAAGTTACCCAATCCCTTTAACGCTTACTAGGGAGGAACACATGGTATTCTTACCGATTTGACTCCTTCCAAATACAATTAAAATGATTATTCCACCAGTCGGAGTATATATTCCAAAATGTAAAATTCCACAATGTCACAAGGAACTGCTCCTGATTATATCCGAATCGCTGACCAGAGGAGAATGATGAGAAGATCTTGGTTTAGTTTGGCAAAAATTGGAGACCAAAAAGAATGTTATATACTCCATCACGAAGGTCCTACCTACTCTGGTGATTATCTCTGCTCTGAATAAATTCTCAGTCTAGCTCTCTCGCCTTTTTATCAATTGTTTGTTATGACTATATTCATTTTAAGATCTCACTGGCCCGATCTTTGCGTAAATAAAGCTCCTAACTCTCCCTTCTTCCAAACCCTCTCTCAAATTTTAAACACAAGCGTTCCGTTTATAAATATATACTTTTGCGATTGTCCCCTATCCCTCTCTCTAGGGGCGCGCACAGAAATAGAGAGATAGTGGAAGCTCAATGTATACCAGCGTGGATATAACACTAACAGTTTATGTAAACTTCAGGTTGCTCCCATTGTAAACTGTTTAACTTAAGTCGTGCCATTTTCGATGTTAAGTTTATTGAAAATTTAACACTATTTATTTTCAGGATTTACAGTGTTTAGGTTCTACCTGACGTTTGATTTGTTATGCAGCTAGCAGCGGCTGATTGGCTGGCTAGTTGCAATGCTCTCACACGGTCTTTATCTCAATGTGGAAGACCATGTTCCCCTCCCAGACAACATTCCTTCATATTTTCCGTCTTTAATTTAATTTCTAGTTTGCTATGTTGGTGGTATCATGGCTGATAATGTATATGGTTGTGTCAATCAATTATGAATATTTTTTCTTTTTCATATGTTGATTGACAATGTTGGCTGGCTAGTTGCAATGCTCTCACACGGTCTTTATCTCAATGTGGAAGACCATGTTCCCCTCCCAGACAACATTCCTTCATATTTTCCGTCTTTAATTTAATTTCTAGTTTGCTATGTTGGTGGTATCATGGCTGATAATGTATATGGTTGTGTCAATCAATTATGAATATTTTTTCTTTTTTCATATGTTGATTGACAATGTTGCAAAAAGGTCTGTCTGGTACACCAATGTCAAATGTCATGTTAGCAAATGGAAATAGATTAAGAAACGACAGCTCATATGCGTAATATTTAATATTTGCTACTTCATTTTCTAATTGATTTATTTAAGACATTCTTTTCTCAAATGTGTGTAAATCTTTTTCCAACAAGACAAAGATTTTTTTGTTCAAAATTTCAAAGATATAATCACCAATGCAATATTGATTCTCCGGCGCTACAAAGAAATATCCACTATATTTTGTTCTTACCAAAACCAAGTTCTTACACAAATATATCGATACTTAGTTATCATCCTATTGGAAAAATGACCAATTTAGATTTAAAATCTAATCAAATTTGTCTTTTCATACAAATATTTTAAATTATAAAATGGCGAATGCAATACAATATTTTTCATGACAAGATGTGAATTACTTTATTGCCCATGATTGATGTATTAATTTTTTTTAACACGATTCGTTTTCATCCTGTTTATCAAATTAAACAATATACCAGTATAGACACGGTATACCCCCCCCCCCTTAGAAAGTAATAAAAAATAAGCCACGTCTTCAATTTCAATCTCATGTGAAAGAAAATTAAGCTTGGTAACATGAGAGGAATTGCTCTTGTAATATACTCTCATATATCAAGTATGAGGCTACCTGAAGATAGGATCATGTTGCACCACGGCATACAGTCTAGCAACATGTCTGTGTAGTCCCATATACCCGTATCTGATTTTATGAAAGGCTGAGTGGTTTTACACTTATTTGATTGTTCCAAAACCTCGTAACAAACAATCACTTTCATTTCTTTTAAAGGGACTTGGTAACACTGTTCAGATGAGAGATAGTGGTGCTAAGGTAGTGACTTCAATGCTAAATGTACAATTAAATATAATCTGAAAATTTGAGTGAAAACGGACCATTATTCATGGTACAAATTGGGAAAAACTGATCTGATCGATTCCTTAATTCTCCCAACTATATTATTACAATTTAACTACATTTCAGGTGAATGGAAATCTCACAAAGCAATAAAATGGCTCAACATTCCATTCCAGACATGTAAGTGTTGACAGATTTTGTTATTGCCTTTTAAGTCTTTTTTTTTCATGGAAAAAAGGTTGGGAAAATTCAAAAATGGTTGGGAGAATTTACTATTAATCACTGTTGGAGGGTGTCATACATCGACGCCTTCAAAGAAAACCATAGATATCTTCGTGGTTTGAGAATTTTTTCAGGATTTTTTTGCATGTCAGAGGGTTAGTACAGTAGAAGGAATATACTAAGTAACATTTTATACAAAAATTAAGCAATTTTTTCCATCAACCTTCAACAATGTTACCAAGTCACTTTAACACTTACTTTTCATTAAAAAGTGTCAAATTCTGCATTGTTAAAAGTTTCAGATTTGCCTAACTACATTGTACAACTTTAAGACGGTATTCTCAATTTCTCTATCTTTACTAATTCTTCAGAAGTTCATTGTACTTTTGATAATGACAACTCTTGTGATCTTCCTTTTTTCAAACATTAGCAAATCTGGTAATTCCCATATGCCATGAACCCCGATAACTAAAATGTTAAACTTCTTTAATATGTAAGCTTACTTTGACTTCCTATAATGTCATGACAGGCCTACTTTTTTCTTTTGTCATTGCAATACCTTTGGAAAAGAACAATACATTTACATTTCTTTAAATTCTTTTTGCGAATTCTATATAAGCCCATCCTAGTTATACACACTGAGGTCTCCAGTCTCCATCCGTTTATAACACATTGCATATGTAATTCTGATGATGCTTGATATTGGTGTATAATGATAAAAACCTACCTTTTGATTCAAATCTCTATTGGTACGCAAAATAAATTAATTTGTCGAAGATCAATCATTTTTCGATAATAAGTGAAACGATGAATAATGAAAAAAACATATTTACAACTGTAAATTCAATCGTTTATTATAATATTTTATCAAAAAGTATGATCATCGCAACATTTCCTCACCTTTTTTAAAATAAACTGCATGCTTAAATTTGTTGGGAATTTTTTTTCTCACAATTTATCAATTTAAACTGTTTACAATTGGATACATTATTTAATACTCAGTTGGCTTTTAATTGCACGAACTCGATATGATATATAGCAAGCACACTTGTTCGCTTTTAAAGTTGAATGGTTTAAACTTTAAACCACTTTCAATACAAAGGCGGAAGGGGGGGGGGGACTTTTTGAATGATCGAATACGAAAAATAGTTCAAGATTTTGGCGGATATAGCCACAAAATTATTGACAATTTCTCTTTCAAGTTTTAAGTTTCAAGTTTATTTGTTCCACATTTACATCAAAAAACAATTACAAATTCCTTTTTTTACAAGATTTCAAATCAAGTAAAATGTACGGGAAATAGGTACGAAGTACGAAGGTAATAAAATGTAAAATGTGGGGAGCCTAAATGAAAAGGATAGCTTGTATGTAAATAGGCTCCCGTAATATCTTCTTGGCCGTACTGAGTAACATAATACATGTAGTAGGTCTGAATTTAAAAGGTATTTATAGGAGGCGAAACGTTTTTTTCTTCCATTCTGTAATCACCAACGGCAGTCACTTGGAAAACGAGTGTGTTTTAATTCATTTAGAATTTAGCATACGGGATACCGACTGTTATTACGATGGCATAGACTTTCACGAAATCAGCTTAATGATTGATTTTAGTATTTCACTTTGAACAAGTCCAACTTTCAACCCCTAGAACATATATTATCACATCATTATGATTTCTCTATATTAAATACCAGACATTAAACTCTAAATTATCATGTTTTAAAATTTAAATCGTAGTTCGGGGTTCAGAAAATGGCGCGTATAGAAAGCCTATTTATAGAGCCTGTGTCTTCTTCAACAAATCATATTGAAATTAAAATCTGCCTCAATCACTGTCAACTACTTCGAGACATTCTCTAGAACTAAACTCATACCCTCTTTAATATATTCATATAATGTTTAATTTTGATGCATACACGCAATGGTACTATCAGTTTTCACTTCCCACTTCCCGTCAATTCTGCTCTCCCTCCGGCACTCCTTCATTCGATTACCCCTTGAAATACCAGCACAATTAGGATGAGCTATAATATGATATATCAACATAACTTACTGAAACATGGCTTTAAACTTTGATATCATCCTAATTATTAGCATGATTATAGTGCTTCGTTAGGAAGTCTATTTCTAGTTTTTTCCCCTTTAAAAAAAAATCTTTGTCTCTTTTTTTTCTTTCTTTCGGAACATGATGAATGCAAATGTTTGTTTAAACATCATAGTATTAGTAACGCGTTATACCAAAGGGCAAATGTTTTGACCCACCCCCCCCCCCCACACAAAAAGGCACCTAAAAAATGTGATAGCCTTTTATCTTTTCTTTCTTTATTTCCTTTTATTTTTTATCATTTATCTGTTGGTCATCGAAATACTCCCACTCCATTTTATGCTCTTAAAGTACTAATGGTCGCCTTCTTGGAAATTAGCTACACGATCCTATAATATCATATCGCATGATTATACAGTTTCGGGTGACAATTCTCCTGCTACAAAAAAGGACAAGGCTGATATTTTCCTGTTTTCAAATTATTTTTTTCTAACCAAGAATGAAAGTGCGTACATTCGATTTACGTCGACACAGCAACAACTGTGCGAGATAGCATAAATCATCAGCCGATAATTACCCTAATAACCTTATCAAACAGGCCTAATATTATGTTTATGGCGTATTAAAACATAATAACAACTTGACAGCGATTCTCCATGTTAATGCTTTGAATTTGTTATCCAGATATCTACACTAGAAGTTCGTACAGATTTTGTATCATGCTTCACAATATTTGAGAACGGTATATATCATTTTTGACTAATGGTCTTTGTCAATGTGCCTTGATTCTATTCTACCAGTATGATCAAAAGCGTTATAATATAACTCGTATCAACCACATCACCATAATATCAATACAATATCAGTTTTGGAATCGTTCATTTGCGTCAATGAATTACTTTTTATCAAAAGCGCCAAGGACATCGTCGGTAACATGGAAAAATATAGCTCATTCGTGCTAGCATGGTACTAGCATACTGTAACAATGTTTCGACGGAATGTTAAAACAGTAGAAATATAACTGATGCCTGTTCGACAAAGGTGATTATGAAAAAAAAAAAAATAATCTGTCGAAATTCTGAACAAAACTATTCCGACTGTGTGCACAGTCGTCTTGACCATTTTTTAGAATATATTTGTATAGTAACCTTTGAACTAGTTAACATAAATTGTGTTTACATTCCGCATGTCATTAACCACACAATCGGCGGTTGGACGACTTTTGGTATTAATAATGTATATAGTAACTTTTGTTGGATTTTTGATTCGTTGGTCTTGATCTAGATCCCGAGAACTAGGCTATATACTAACCAATGTTTTTTTCCTCATCATGCTCGTGGTGTTGGGTTTGTGGACTCCAGATTCGACCTTGACTTTTTAGCGCTTTTATTAACAGAACAAGGTTATGGATTTTCTGGTGTTTAGTCAATCTCGTATCAGCGTCACCATGGTTACGCCATCACTTAGGATATTGTTATCATTTATGTAACCATCCAAATCATAAGAGCCACCAATATATAAGATGATCAATCACCTTCATCATCTTTACCATCATCGTCATCATCATCAATTCGTTCTCCTGATCTCCTCCCTCATCTTTCATCATCATCATTATCATCATTATCAACCTCATCATCATCATCATCCTCCTGATCTTATATTCCTCCGCCTCCTCCTCCTTTACTTCTTCTTCTTCATCATCATCATCATCATCATCATCATCATTATCATTATCATCATCATCATCATCATCATCATTATCCTTTATTTTCAATCTAGTATATATCAGGCAAGAACTGATATCCCATAACAAATATTTTAGAACTTGTCTGGGTTTTGGTCGAGTTACTCACCTTGTGTCATATCTATTCCCTCTGGTACTGGGTGATGCGATCCCGATGATGTGATGTAATTGGTAGCATCTACATGAGATTGCAAGACAGCAGGATGAGGCGAACCATCCTCGCATTCAGGAGGCTGCTGCTTGATGTACCGACTATTCCCTGTCGTGTTCCCCCAACCTCCGGCATAGCTGACAGAGCACTGCGTTGTATCCATTCCCAGACCACCCCCGCCACTGATGGCTGCGGCGTTCATGTAGAGGCCGGTCGGAGTCGGAGGCGTCCCCGCGCTGCTGGCTGAGATGTACTCCCCACCCGCCATCGAGCAGCTAGTCATGAATCCACCATTGGGCGAGCAGGCGTTCGGTGCGCTGTTCGCAAGGTGTGGCGACATCGGGCCGCCGATCATACTCATGTTCATGTTCCCATCCATACCATTCATGTGGCCCATGTGATTCATACCAGCTTGCATGGCCTGTAGTCCGCCAGGAGCTACCTGGGCTGAATTCTGTCCAAACATATCCATACCTCCCATTCCTAGCATGTGATGAGGCATTGCGTTCATCATCGTGTACGGAGGTCGAAGAGCGTGGCATTTTCGTCGGAAACCTCGCGGTCGACGTCGAAATGAACCTTCTTCAAACATGAACTCACTGGCCGGGTCAATGGTCCAGTAGTGTCCCTTCCCTGGTCGCCCAAGTCCCTTGGGTAGCTTTATGAAACACTCATTGAGTGAGAGGTTGTGACGAACAGAGTTTTTCCATCCTTGATAGGGGCCTCGAAAAAATGGGAATCGTTGCATGAGAAATTGGTAAATCTCGCTGAGCGTCAACCGTTTGGCCGGTGAACTCTGGATCGCCATTACGATGAGAGCGATGTACGAATAGGGCGGCTTCTCATGACGACGAATACCCGCCCCGCCCTTCTTCACCTTTTCTCCACTCTCCGCTGGACTGGTGGGCGAGTCGGCTGGTATATCGGTGCTCGTGCATTGCTCCAGGCCGACTGAGTCGGCGGGCTGAACGGCAGGTACCGCTTGCTGGTGGGGCTGTGTCGTCTGCTGTTGTGTTTGCTGCTGATGTTGTTGTGGATGTTGTTGCTGAGGCGTGCCATGAAGTTGCTGATGAGGTTGCTGGTGATTGTGCTGGTGGTGGGCTACGTGATGGTTGTGGTGATGATGTTGTGGCGACTGGTTTTGGCCTTGCGACGGCGGCAAATGCTGGCCCGACATTGCAGTCGAGCTATGTAGGGCCGCAGACATACTCTCTAGTTGAGTCATCTGGAGAAAGTAGCAAATGACTCCAGCGGCAAATCAGATGTAGAAGTCCTAAAATCTATCTATTGTTGCTGAATGTTGAAAACAAAACTGCGACAGTTTCATTTAGAGTCTGGAAATGCAACAAATCGCAGAACATGTGAGTGAAATGGAAGCGATTGGAGTTTGAAGAGTTGCCCTACAGCAGGGCGATAGTTCAAGTTGACGCGGTAATCGACCAATAAATCCCGATAACAAACAAATCGTCTGCTTGGGGTTGAGTTCAACTCGCGTTGTGTATACTCCTATCTTCCTGTCGTCTTCTTAGCGGCTATCTAATGACACTGCAGTAGCACCTTGGTATATTGAATTATCAAACGCATCGATGTATGTTTTGTATTTCAAGAAAGTGAAAAGAATACACATCGGCATTTATTATTTTAGTCTCGCCCTTTCTGTTTATTTGCTAGCTGCAGCATTGTCGAAGTCAATATAGTACTTGTTAAAAATCAAAACTGGTAGATACAAAGAGAATGAGTTTTTGTATTTTCTCTTTACCCTCTACAAGATGAACACACGAGTTTTGATAGTAACAATTTTCCGAGAAAATGCCGAAGAAGATATGACCATCCCCTTATCCCAATATTTGGCGGAGTTGTTTTTCGAGCGAAGGAGGGGCTCCTGACTACAGGCGACTGAATGAAGCAAGAGATGAATGCCCGTGGTTACTACACAACCGGTGAAGCTGAAGCTAGCAGGCTAGATTGAGTGGTTGTACGACCGTTCTGAGTGAGGGAGGTGGATAGCAAGACAGTGTATGCATACTAGCTATCAATGAGATGGGTTAGTGCTGGCCACTCGCCCCCCACGTCGACTCAAAAGCATTTGCTTTATGTCAGGCGAAGTGAATCGTCCTCTCTCTCTCTCCACCTCTCCCATTCTCTTTCTCCTTCTCTCCTTCAATCTTGAGAATGACTCGCCTACTGAGCATGCGCAAATTTATGCAAATAAACCATCATTGATAAAGAGTTGTCTAATCTTTTTCCTAATCATACCACAAAATCATTTTGCTTGCGTGGGTATCAAACCGAATGTAAACCCTTGCATGACTTCCCTTTGTCATTATAAAAGCCACAAGAAAAAGGCGAAATATTGAAAAGCTTTATTGATTTGACATTTGGTGATGCATTATTTTATTGCGTACCACTTGACGTTGAACTTTCGTGACTACTGAAATGTGAAATCATAATAAACTCGGCACATCCGATCTTAGTCAAATTTCCTCTGTCTTCCTACCAAGAATGGACATTTTTTTAGGAACTCTTTATCTCATGATAGTTAAAGATTATTATTATTATAATGGTTTGTTTAGATTATGAATCGGGGGAAAGGAATGGAGATCACTGTGTATTGTCAAAATGGATGTTGAAGTATAGACAGTGTCAACTGATGCTTGATATTACTGTTTGTTGATGAAATTGTGCGCTAACGCGGTTTTCATTAATTTAAGAATGACGGAAGGTTTAAGGACATTACAATCCATACACAAGTCTGATTATAATTATCATTAATAACGGCATAATTAAAGTTTACATATCCATACGGGTTGTTGTTTAGGGGGGGGGGGTCCCAGTTTGTAAAACTCTGGTTTGAGTCATCAGTGCTGCATGTCCCATCTTACCTTCCATACTCGTGAGTCTCCATCTAATCCTGGAGTTTACATGGCCATATCATTTATTGGAACATTTCAGAGGAAAAAAAAACTATTCGGCGAGTTCGTCCAACATCTTGAATGAAAGAAGAAAGATAAAGAAAGTTTCAGAAATGACAACTTCTTACTCCAGAGCAATAAATGTTTATTTTGGTAATGTTGTGTGTTTATGAATAATACGAAGGCGCAATGGTTCAGCGGTAGAGCAGTCAGCAGTGATCTCGTCACCGGAAGGTCCCGGTTTCGAAACCAAGTCGATGCATTGGGCCCTTTGAAAATTAAGGAATTAATCCTCATTACCAAGTCCTTCAGGGAGGACTTAAAGCCATCGTTCCCCTGGTTGCTAACCTACAAGCAAACACAATGCTTTCTTAGCAGTCAGGTATAACAAACAAACAAACAAACAAACAAATATACATCTACAAAATTGACCTACTCATGCCAATGGCGTAAAGATTTGGGATTCTCGCGTTCAAAAGGGGTGGGGGCAACAAAATACTCACAAGATGTCTACTCCGCGCTAAAGTTTAAGTTAAAACCTTAGGCAGGGGCAATATTATTATCGAAAGACGCATATTGATATGTTATTACAGTATTACTTGCCTAGATACACAGAAAAATATAAGTGCACTAGCTTCTCGGAATGACCGAATATGTGGTTTGTAAGTAGACATTGGTTGTCAAGCGCAATTTGCACGATATGATGAAATTTCAGTTGGCCATTTATAATTTCAACACCATCAGATCCTAAATGTACAGATTTGACAATCGTGGAAGTTGTGTGAACTGGTTATAATGGTTTCGGGCTTTTCGAAACTCGTGTCCATCTTTTAATTTGATCATGATTATATTTCATTTTATTTATGTATTTGTTTCTCTAACATCATTCCAAACATAAATTTTCATTTAAATAACTGACTGAATATTAGTTTTTTTTCGACAATATAATAAATATATGTAATAAAAAAAAGCCTGTCAAATTAATGGTAACCATGGTAACGATATCTAAAAGAATCAGGGCAAAAGTGTTTGCAGTCCTTAAATATGGCTATTAAAGGGAATGTGTCTGTGATATGGTGTAATATTGAAGCCCTAAAAAAAAAGCGCTTCAAAATGATCAAGAAGTGCCTCAAAAAATAAAGAAATTTGAGTGACCGTAGTTTACCATACTCGTTTTCCCCAATAGACTGTAGTGTTATGAAAACCGTTTGTCAAACGGTTTTCAAAATTTGTAATTCCAATCATAAATATCTTGATAATCAGACAGGCGATCGGCTTGTAAAAGTCATGGGGTTCCTGATTGACCTAAAGGTTTATAATTATCATTGCAGCATGAGCTAAATCCAGAATTTTATTCAGAATCTGAGACAAAGTTACCGGATCCCTATAATGATCAAAATGCTTCCGACAATGACTCGCAAAGAAAAACAATTAAATAGAAAGATGGGTTTTCCTCAAATACAGGTGTATTATTCTTCCTACGAATGTTAAAGAGGCGCTTATTATTATCATTATCATTATTTATTTGACCAATCGGAAAACATACAGTGAGTATAACAATCAGATAATACATAGAAATATCATAATACATACACACAGCTTTATGGAAGTGGAGGAGGGAGAGAGAGAAGGGTACAATCTGCTGGTCAGGGGTGACAAAAGCAATTGAAATTGCTATTACTCGAAAGCATGTCACCCCCCCCCCCCCCCCGATGGTACACGCTTATGCAAAACACAGTGGAGTACCACCGCCTCCCCTAAAATAGACCCACAGGTTTCCAATTTGAAGTCAGGGGTACCTCCCCACCCCCCCCCCCCCAATGCACAATACCACAAAATATCAAATAGGCCTAATTAGTAGTTTTTTTTTTTTTTGGGGGGGGGGGGGGAGGATGGGGGGTAGCGTTCATGTAGCTAACATAACGTGCATGGTCCCCCTAATCAAACAATTTTCGGGAAACGCCGTTGTATGCAAATTAATGATTTCTGAATTTCAAAAAAAAGGGCAAAGAAATATTGAGCCTTTATATAGGAAAAATCGCGGAGGGTCTACGATTATATTCGGTTCGGGTTTGATGTTGAGGTTCAACGCAAGTGACAGGGGGAGGAATTAGCCTAAAAAATACGACCCAACGGAGTCATTCCCAGTGCCTCGCCACGTAAATCAAATGCTGATGGTCTAAAGAGGACTGCAGTAATTGTCCCAGCAGCAGGCTTCCGAGGATCTTCTTTCCCACAATCAGGGTAAAGGGGCAAAATACTAGTATATCTCGTTTGAGGGGACTGTTTGCTGATTTCTTAAAATTTTTGAAGGGGTTCGGTGTGGGAGAATTACATTAACCCTAGATATTTTGCTCCAGTCCAAAATGAATTAAGGAGATACAAGAAAACGCTTCCATACTAGATTAATAGAGAAGAAAAAAAATAATTTCCTTGAAGGCAGAATAGTTCATATTTTGTTATAGTGGCGGATGTAGCCCCCCCCCAAGGAAAAGCAATATGGTAAATTAACAGAGCAATAATAGAAAAAAGAGGCGTAGGCCTATGCTGGTGAACATTTTGGGGATTTATGCCCCCCTCCCCCCTGTCAGAGAAATCCTGTAGCCGCCACTGTGTACGATGGTAAGATCCAGACCAATCTGACTTTTAAAAATATTTTATTGATGATCTATGAGGCGATGCGATTGGGTGTTTTGTTCCACGGTGGAGGCGATACAGAGGCTGATCGAGGGTAAGGGTGTCGACGTCTTAGGTGGTCCCCCGAGATCGAGGGCGGAGTCGAGGTCGTAATCAAACAGGTAAGTATCGAGATCGTACACCGCTGCACCCTCCATTCAGGGAAATAGGGGCGAGGAAATTTGATTGTACAGGGGCGGTTCAAGGAGGAAAAAAAGGATGGGGGGGAATTTTTCATAAACAGTCATTATTTTATTAGAATGGGAATCCCGCACGTCCTCTATGGGCTCGAAGGGGCGGCAGGAGCTGTGTTTTCGACCTTTTCCCTTTTGTCCCCACAGGGGCGACCGTCTCCGTCCCTCTCTTCTCTGCTATCATTTATCTGTAGGCATATAGGCCTTGATTAAGTTACCTTTGAATAGGCCTGCCATTACTTGTCAAAAGTACTGAAGTAATTTTTTCATCACTATTCTTGCGATATTCTTTTTTAGAGATCACCTAGTTATTAACCCCTCTTGGCAATATTCAGCAATTCGGAATTTCATTCCGAACTAAAACAATGCTATTCCAGATAAGGGGTGAAAAAACAGCCAAATGATATCACAATATATACAACTTATACCTAATTATGACCAGTGATTCAAAAAATTTGCATGAAAACCATTGCGGATTCAAATAACAGTCATACAAGATTTTAAAATTAAAAAAAATGAAAGGGAGTAGACTACCCCTAAAGAAAGCAACAACAAAAAAGGGGGAAAAATAGAGAAGCAGATTGTTAAAAGTTTAAACGAAATCGGACTAAATTTGATTTCGTTTTAAATTATTTTCGTGCAAGCTGTATACCTATTTGCACATTGAATTGGCTGAATCTGTTACTTTTCTGCTTTCAAACAAATTAAATTATTGCAAGGGTTGGATTGCCCTTTAAAGATGTGCCTGTCCGTGTCAATAACCTACAACATATTCTGCGAAGAAATAAAGGAACTGTGTCGGTAAAATGAATTACTACTTTTATCAAGCAAGCTTATATTATGCATGTTTATGTTTTCTGTAATATAGGTTATAAACAGAAGTATGCGCATACAGACATACACCAAAAATGAGAATAATAGGATTATGGCGTGGATAGCGACGACGAGTTGCGAACTATGGAGTACCACTGAAACATCAACGGTTTTAAGCTTATTAGCAAGATCTGGTGTGTGAATATGTGAACTGTAATGACTTCGCGGATTAGAAAGGCGCGGATTTGAGAGACACCCATGTTTTCGTGCCTAAAAGATATATTTACTCAACACCTGAAGTTTCATTCACGACTCGCAAAACACGACATTGCAGTAACTCCTTGGTAATAACGAACTAGTTTGAGCCGCGTAATGAAAGAGAGGGCGTGACGGACCACAAATGCCTTGCGGGTAGCGACTGGAGGAAAGTTTTGCAATACCTTCCACCACGTGACTCCCACAACGATAATTGAGCGTGAAGTTGGGCCGATAATACGCCCCGTTGAGC